GGCCCCCCCACCTCCGGCTGCAGCCGCGGCGCGGGAGGCGGAGCCCGAGCAAAGCCCGAGCCGAGCCACTGCCAGAACCCGGCCCGCTACTGTCCCCGCCGCTGGGCGGGGCCGCCCCTCACCCAGAGCGTCAGCTCACCAGGTCCGCGTCGGCGCGGGCAGCACCTCCTCTGCAGGTAAGGGCGAGGTCCTGGCGCCGCAAAGTTTTGGGGAGACTGCTGGTCCCTACACCCCGGGCCTGTGCCTCCGGGTGCTGCAGGCTGCTTGGTCCCCGGATTTCTCCACGCTGTCCTCTACGGTGCACTCTGCTTGCACCGCTGGCCCCGGGTGACCCACACCCGCCTCCCGACCTGGTGTCCCCACTCTGCGCGGGGCTTTGTCCGCGGGCTAGCTCAGGACCTGCAACGGTTAACTCTACACAGGATCGCTGTGTCGCTTAAGTTTCCGAGATCTACATGGTGTAGTTAAGGACCGGCAAACCGGGAGGCAAACCTGGGTTCAGGTGCGGCCGCGGCCAGCGCCAACTTTCTGAGTGACCTCAGACTAGCGGTCCCTGCCTGGCCTCAACAGCCACACCTGGGCCAGGAAGGATTCGCCAGGGATGATTAGCGAAGCGCCATGCCTGTATTGCCATTTTGTGAGTCGAAGGACACCCCGGAGTGTCTCAGCTCCAGGGTTCACTGAGGGGAGAGGGATGTTGGGGCCCACAGAAGTCAGCTTTAGGGTTCATGTCGCTAAGCTGCAGCAGCTTTGGCTGAGCTTCAAGGAGGAGTGTTGAATCAGCCTGTGGAAGTAGAGAAGGATTCCAGGGTTAGGAGTTGGTGCTGTCGACCCTGGTGGCTCTTCTGCGCCCCAAGCTGTGTGACCTTGGTCAAGACCCCACTGGTTTTGTCACTTCTAACAGGATGAAAGTGGTGTCCACTACATGTTCATTAAGGTACTTCAATTATAAATCCAGAGAAGTGGAACCTCAGGGTCTCTGTGATTAAGGGTCGGTTTGGGTGGAGGCAATATTTCATCAAGAATCCATCTAGCACTTGCACATGGGTGTTTAGAAAATAAAGGAACCATTTTCAGTTTGCTTTGGGAGTCCCAAAATAGACATGGCAAGCATTGGCGAATGTTCGCCTTGCTTCCTTCAGTGCTTTGGCCCATCATAAAATATTCAACAGCGTAATGATTTGTTTTCCAAGTGGCTTATAGATCAGGAAATGTTTCTGTTTGTGAGGTGGTTATTTTTGTTAAAAACCTCAAAATATTTGTCTAGGGGAAAAATAATGTTTTGTTTTAGGGGTCCTGACAGGGTAACATTTACTTGTTTCTAGTCTAAAACCATGGTGGAGATATTTTTCAGTCAAGACCATTTAAAATCATTCGAAGTCAGGCATCCCCTGGGTGGCATTCCACATAGGTGTGATTGGTGAGTTTAGTACATATTTTCCAGCACAGGTGAATACCAGTGCAACCACAACGAAACAAGTACCTGTGTGAGGTAGTTAAGTGTGGCGTGCTGGGAGGTGAACTCTATTCTTTCGCCCAGTATCCTCTTCCTCTTGTGCTGCAGCTGGTCTCCCTAGTGTATGGATGAAATGCATTACTATGAAAAGCTTCTTATGGAAGTGATTTTATTATTTTATTTGCTTCCTAGACATCCTGGTTTTAAGTTTCATGTTTTGTGAGTCAGAGGGCTGGTGAGAGTATGCTTTGTGACTGGAGCAGTTACGATAATAAGTTTGCTTTCCCAAATGATACTTTGTATTCCAAGCCAATTTGTCCCGGGCCTTGTATCACTCAGACGCATTCAAATGTAATACTGACTTTTCCCTGCTTCACTCGAGTGGTTCAGCAAGCACTTTCTCACCACTGATTCAGGAAAAAACAAACATGAGTATTACTGACAGGCCCTCCCCTCAAGGAGCTCAGGCTCTCCTGAGGAATAGTTATACTACAGAGCATTTCCGGCTTTATCTCCTGAGAACAGGAGAATGGGTAAATTCCAAATAAAGAGATTGGAGAATTCTGCACTCTAGGTAGAGGGAAGAAGATTTGAACAAGTAGGGAGGAGTAAAAAGCTGTTTCTAGGCCAAGGAACTTGTATGGGCGAAGGTACAGAACCTAGATTGCACGGGATACAGATGAGGACAGTGAGTCTGGTCAAAGCACAAAAGCAGGCAGACCACTCCAGAGTAGAAGGCAGCGGGAAGGGTTCAGCAACCCAGAGCCTCTGAGGATCACTTTTCTCATTTGTCAAAGGGGAATAATGATAATTCTCAACTCTCAAGATTAAATGAGACCGTATGTAAAAGTCCCTGATAGGATGTTTGCATGTCATAGATATTTGATAGAAGCATCAGTACGCTGTTGGGCACTACTAGAGTATTAAAATGGTGCTTTTTGTTTAGCTTATATGTTGATTTAGAACCTCTCCCCCTGGGTGGAATCCCTGTGACAATGTTATATGCACTTAGGCTGCCTCCTACTTCCAAGGATGGGGGCTTTTTATTATTTGCAGAGTGCTCAGAACAGATACTGACCTCAACAGCAGCCAGTGTCCTGTGAGCACTGTTAGGTGGTGAAGGCTAACACGGGTTAATCAGAAGGCTCAATCTCTGCCTCCTACAAGCTTATCACTATGTGTTCAAGGACCCAGGTGGGAGGATTTGACAGTTAGACACAGTTATAAATACCTCAGCTTTGTCCATATATTGCTGGAAACTGGTTCCTGGCTCCCTTCTGCCTTGGTGAAGTTTGCTCAGCATTTCAAAGCTGTGGTCAGAGAATAAGACAGGACAGTGAAGAACAATACCTTATGATCCTGTATAGCACAATGTAGCATCCACTGTACTGTCCCTCATTTTTTTTATTCAGTGGTTATGCATAAAACACATACTGTGTGCCAGAGATTGTCCAGGGTGCCCCCGAGATACGGCAAGGTCCCTGTCTCCCTAAAGCTTATATTCTAGTAGGCAAAACAGAATAAAATAAATATGTAAATAAAGTTATTACAGTTTACAGGTTTAACGGCTGGCAGGAATCATGCAGGGCAATGTGACAGAAAGCAATGGGAATATTGCACAGTGAGCCCTCTTTTTCAGGCTCGTCTCCTTTACCGTTCTTTCTCTTTGTCCCTCCTCTTCTGCCTCTTCCTTCTTTCCCCTTTGGCCCTCCTTCTGTCTGTCTGTCTGTCTCTCTCTCTCTTTCTCTCTCTCTCCTTCCTCTCCTCACTTCTGTCTCCTGCAAGCCCTGAAGAGTAGTGCCCCTAGAGATGCCTGGTAGGGAGGGAAAATCACCTGTGATCTTAAGGATAATCATCTGTGACCTTGCCTTTTCCCTTGCTCTCTCCTTACTAAAATTGTGATCACCAAGCCCTGTCATTTTACTTCCAAAATCCCCTCAAACAGGACTCCATTTTCCATCCTCTGTCTCTGTCTTTCTGTCTTTCTCTGTCTCTCTCTTTCCATCAGGCTTCTGTGCTGTCAACCCTAATGTGTGGCTCTGATCCATAAGCCCCTCCTCAGCAACCTTCAGTGGATCCTTCATGTGTGGAAGTCCCAAGACCTGACTCTGTCCCTTCTCTCAGACCCCTACCTCATCCTGTCCTCCACTCTTCATCCCTCAACCCTATCCCAGCCTCTAGGCCATTGTCCTCTCTCTGCTTCTCTGCTTATCTTGTGCCTCAGCCTCAGTGGTCTTGTCTACCTCCCTTGAGAAGCTGTTTTCCAGCCCCCATGTCCCAGGGTTTTTATCATCCTCTGACCTCCCACTTTACTTGGTACCTTTCATGGAGAAGCAGCTGCTATCAGCCTTGAAGGATTTTTTTTTTTTTTTTTTTTTTTTTTTTTTGGTCTTTTTGAGACAGAGTCTCGCTATGCAGTTCAGGCTAGTCTTAAACTCACTTTGTAGCCCAGGCTGGTCTTAAACTCGCAATGATCCTCCTGCCTCAGCCTCCTGAGTGCTGGAATTACAGGCATGTGCCACCACGCCTGGCAGCCTTGAAGGATTTTGTGTGTGGTCTTTTGTGTATATGGCCACAGATACAAGAAGTCCCCAGAATGGTGGGCACAATGTCCCATTTCTTGTCACTCTACAGCCTTTCCATAGAGCCTAGAACTACTGTACACTTGATAATGTATTTGCTGTTTAGATTGACAAAAGCCTGTGACTTTCTCCAGATGTAAAGTGGTTTGAGTAAAGTCACAAACACAATGCTGCTGTCTAGGGGTTGCATGTGGTGTTCAGCTGGTCTTGATTGTGGCATTCTGATGCCTCCAAATACAGAGAGCCTTCATTCAGTGAAGAGGTGGTGTGGCCTCAAAAATAAGTCTGAAGTTAGAATTTAGCTTTTCAGCGTGGCCTATTTTAAATAGATGTATGATGTAAGATTTGAACCTTCAAGTTTTTGACAATAATTGCTTATGTTAGAAAAAGCATTCTTTATGATACCAAAAGATATGATATGGAAAACTTTCAAATACCAAAACATGCATATATACTTAACACCACTCAATTTATAAAATTTTGATTTATGCACAATGGTTGTAGTTATAGTTCTGTTATATTCGAAGATATACGATGAACAATATATGCTTGCAGAAGCAGTAGGAATATTGGTTTCTTTTGGTGACTACAGATTGCATAGTGCAACTCTGCAAATATGAGGGAGTTTTTGAGTGACTGAAGGACAGTGTGAAGTCTGATTAGGTGCTTGGCCAACCTATGTGAGGGCAGTAGCCATTATTTTCAATGAAATGACACTGTATTTTCAGACCCATCTGATGTTTGGAGACATTTTGCCAGTGATTAAAAATGTTTCGGGCTTCCAATCATTTCCCAAGCTGGCTGCTAAGTGATATGTGTCCCTTAACATTTGTTCTTTTGTAGAGAAAAAAAACTAATTACAGGTTGGAAAAGATATGGTGGTAAACTAAAGGTGTGGAAGTATATTCTTTTGACCTCTCTTAAAGAATGATCTGAGAACCTGAACTGTTTTAGTAAAAGGGTAAATATGGCAAATTTTCAAACTCCTGAATGGAAAGAGCTTTAGAGAAATTCATCCAGATGCAACAGTGCTTTGTTCTCTGAGATTTTGACTTAAGAGAAGATACATGTACAGGCAGATGAGACATGCTGTGCTTCCTGTTCTGAGCATCCAGAATGTAGGGTGTAGTCTGTAGCC